CCTTGGTTTTCCTTCCACTTCCACGTCTCTCATCTATCCCTCTTACTGTGTTTTCCCAATTCCTTCCAGTCCCAATTCGGGTGGGCTCCATCCTTCCTTGTGGCTTCCTCTTTCCCGATTTGCAACCTCTTTTCTTCACAGCACTCAGCTGTGTTTCCTTTGGAAGATGCGTAGAGTTTTTACTTGGGTGTACACACCATCACCTTCTGTTTGTTTGCCTTTATTGGCACTGTCATCGGTGGATTCTCCACCGGCTTCTTTCATCTACTGGTTGCGATCGGCACAGGGGTTCTTGCAAGTTGTAGGAGACACTAGATTCTTCGTTTCTAGGCGGTGGTTGCTTGTTGGTGGTTCAGGGCGTGGGTTTGCACTGGCATGGATGCTCTGCGGTGTTGGAGCACTGGGTTTCTTAATGCATGGGGCTTTGCTTGGTCGAAGTGTTGGACGGATTGTGATGGTGGCTCTCGTCATTTCCGGCAACGGAGGGGATTGCAAGGTTCTAGGGAGTTCTGTAGCTTTGTCTATGTTTGTATTAGGCCCCAAAACTTGTTTTGGGCTCTTTTGTGTGTACTGTTCAGATCCACTAGTTTTGTTTTGTACTTATGTCGTTTGTGGACCTCTTTGTATCTTTGTTTGGCCTTGGGCCCTGAAATACTATGTCCAATTTTCCAAAAAAAAAAAATAATACATATAAAAATAGTTAGTATTCAAAGTCTCTCCTTCTAAACTTCTCAAAACGTATTTTGTTTTATGTTTTCAGTCCGCCATAAAACTGAAAATTGTTGCCGAACAAGCTGCTAGGTATTTAAGTTTTTTCAGTTCTTTCCTATGATTTAGGTAAAATGGAGTTAGGTTTATACATTGCATGAAGTTCGCATGGAGATAATCACCTACATTGAAGACTAGCTTAATTGCGAGGATTAGGTTCTTGGTCCAATAGGATCATTTCCTAATCCTCTTAGTGAGAATCTTGACGGTTCATAAATTGTGTCTATTTATCGTATATCGTGCAATTAGTTTTTGTTAAGTACCGTTTGTATTTAATTTTAAATAAAAATATTTAAAATAATTTATAACCGTATAACGTACAATAAACAGATATAATTCATGAATTCTTAAAATCATCAAAATAGGATCCGGCGATGATCCGGATTCGTACTTGATAATCCTACTAGTTACTAGCCAAGTCAATCATACTTATCTTTCTAGACCCTAATTATAGGGAAAGGAAAAACAAAGATCCTACTTTCTACCTGAGAAAAATTCTCCCAAAAAATAAAATAAAAATAAAAATAGATGAGGATTCCATGGAGCCACGTATGATCCAATCTGACAGGATTTACTCGACACCAGGTCACACCTCACTGTAAAAACTCTGAACTGCCTATATAATTAACTGAACCCCAGCGGTTCAAACAAGCTTCAGGAATAAGAACAATTCTAGAGAGAGAAGGGAGTGCTAGAGAGAGAGAGAGAGAGAGAGAGAGGAGAGATTTAGGAGCAAGAGAGCCAGAGAATTAGTGAATTACTCGAGACACACACCCACCATTGAATGGCAAACCGTGTAATCCCAGTAGCATCAAAACTCCTGAAAAATGTCAGGCCACTTAACTCCGCCTCCTCCACCACCATATCCGCCATTTCCCAGCCAATCGGCTATGCCGAAAAAGCACCACACCCCACAGCCACCACCATCGACGCCGACCCCAGCCTTTCCAGCTTTGATGACGCGGACAAGCTCTTTGCCTCGGTCTCCACGTCACGGCTGTTGAGGGCGGCGTTGAACCTCCACATGGTGGCGGTGGAGCCGATGGTGGATGTTGGAATGTGGGTCATGCGTTCCAAGCTCATGCAGACTCCCTTGATCAAAGACGTGATCTTGGGGATGATACGGTCCACGATTTATGACCACTTTTGCGCCGGCGAAGACGCCGTAGCCGCCGGAAAGTCGGTGCTGGAGCTAAACGAGGCGGGGCTGAGAGGGATGCTGGTTTACGCTTTGGAGTACGCCGGTGACAACGAGGCATGTGACAAGAACTTGCAAGGCTTCTTGGACACCGCTGAATCTACCAAATCCCTGCCACCTTCTTCGGTAAGTAGTTCTCCACATCACTCCAAAATCAAAGATTCAAGAGTCGATTTGACTTTTCTTTGATCATATCGAAATTCTGTTTTTCTTTTCTATTTTTAACCGAGAAATGCTAAAAAAATCTCTTTTAAAATTTGATTTTTCTTATGTAAAATAAGATTTATGGTTATAGTAATATTCTTTTAAGTGTAAATGAAAAATATTAGATTCGATTTTTATCAAAAAGACAAATTTAAACTACATTATTACTAACTTTTACCGCTAATTCATCCCCTCTTGCAATACCGTTACTTAAAGAAAATAACAAGACTTAATGGTTAAAATATTCCGTTACTCAATGTTAATATTGTTTCGACATGTCACATGAACGAGTCTGAATCCATACAGTTGACATGTAGGATTGCGGGTCCTACTTTCGCTTTATGCCATTTGGTTCGTTGCATGGAATGAGGATCTTGCCGGATTCTAAGAATTTTCAAATACATCCTTTAATTGTATCTTTTATTGTATCGTTAAAAATTATTGTAATTTTTTTTTATTTAAACTTGAATATAAACAGTATCTGACAAAAATTGACTGTACGATATATAATAAACGGATGTGATTAGAAATTCATGAGATGCTTACAAAGATGATCCGGTGAGGATCCTCTCTGCATGCACCACCAAGTTGTTTGCCCAACCTTGAATCTTCCATCTAGGCCCAGGGCTGTTTACATTTGATTTGGCTCCCTAGTTGCTGCCGACAAATCTTCCAACATCAATCAACCATTTACTATTCTTAATATTATTTTTAATGGGAAATGTTATTAGCACTTCAAAAATCTCATTCTACATTCTCACAAATGTATTTTTCTTTCTAAATATAGAAAGTTTGGAATGTAGATTGAGAATTTTGGATTGTCAATAACAATGCCCTTTTTAATTTTACAATTATCACTAATTGAATCTTGATTAGCGCAATTTGCAAACCATGTGAAAGCTTTGTACGCCAATTGAGTTTGATTCTGACAGTGACTTGTCAAAAAAGCACTTTCAAGCAAAGCAATTCTTGTTGCGATTTGTTTTTCTTCACCACTTGCTCGTGAAGTTTATTTGTGATGGTAACTGAAACTGAAAGTGATGTTTTGGCTTGTAACAGGTGAGCTTTGTCATTGTGAAAATTACTGCAATTTGCCCCACCAATCTGCTTCGGCGAGTGAGTGACTTGCTGAGATGGCAACAGCAAGATCCGTCTTTCAATCTTCCATGGAAGCGCGATACGTTTCCCATTTTCTCCGAATCGAGCCCTCTCTACCATACCCTCGAAAAGCCGGAGCCTTTGACTCCGGAAGAAGAGTGTGATCTCGAATTAGTCCACCAGAGACTACTAAAACTGTCCCAAAAGTGCGCAGAAGCCAATGTGCCTCTATCCGTCGATGCAGAGTACACTTCAATTCAACCGGCCATCGATTACTTGACCTACTCCTCTGCGATCATCTACAACAAAGATGATAACGCAATTGTTTACGGGACGATTCAAGCTTACTTGAAAGATGCAAAGGAAAGATTGTTGCTGGCAACAAAGGCCGCAGATAAGATGGGCGTTTCAATGGGGTTCAAAGTGGTGAGGGGAGCTTATATGTCAAGTGAAGGAAAATTAGCTTCTTCCTTGGGCTATAAGTCTCCTATCCACGATTGCATTGAGGACACGCATGCGTGCTACAACGATTGTGCTTCGTTCATGCTCGAGAGGATTGCAAATGGCTCTGATGCAGTTGTCCTTGCAACCCATAATGTTGAATCAGGTAAATAAAACTTGCAGAAAAGCCCACTACATTGGTTTAGAGTTTTGTATCGGTAGTATGTCTGACGTGAAATGTTGAATACAAATGTAGGGAGACTGGCAATGGCAAAGGCACATGAAATCGGGGTAGGGAAGGTGCACCAAAAGCTCGAATTTGCACAGCTGTACGGAATGGCAGAATCGCTCTCCTTCGGTCTGAAAAATTCAGGGTTTCAAGTGAGCAAGTACATGCCATTCGGACCGATACAGTTGGTGCTGCCTTACCTCTTGAGGAGGGCTGAAGAGAACAGGGGACTCCTATCTGCTTCATCTCAAGACAGACGACTCACAAGGTAATTTCAAAATCGGATAAAACCTTGTATATTCGCAGCGTAAAAGGTCAGTAAAGGATCAGTTTTATTCTAACGCCGGTTTGAACTCTTCCTTTGAATACAGGGAGGAGCTGATGAGGAGACTTAAGGCCGCAATCATCTAACGCGAAAACAAAGCCTTTGTGGAACAGCAAGCTTGCTGATCCATCAACAATCTTGTAAATAGGATGATCTGTAATTGTGGTGGATTGCTCGTAAGTTAGTTGAATTAAAATGTGCATATAGGTATTAGGAAATCTGGGTTCTGTTTTCCACATTACATTAGGTTGTTCTACTGGGCAACAGATCCATATTTGCTTCCTAGGTCTACTTCCATGGCAATCCACCACAAGCGCCGGCGCCCTATTGACCGCGTTTACGATCGTGTGGCTTCCTTCAACAGAAGGAATATGAATAAAATGTTCATGTTGCTTCCAAATTACTCAATATGTGTGGACAATGTTTGAATAACTAGGAGTAACTAAAGAGGAACTTAGGTAAGGCTACCCTTTCTCACACGGGTGGGACCAGCATGGAGTCGAACAAAACTAAAATACACGAGATAAATGAATTCCATGATTTTGTGAAGGTGGTCGGAAAGGTCACGTGATCAGGCATTATGATCTAAATCTGCAAATTGCAATATAAAAGCACATCCTTGACTCAAATTCCCAAATACTTGCAATCAAAGACATTTAGGAGTGCCTTGCGGTGGTTATCAATCAACATCGTTTCTCAGATCAACATGGGGAACGCATGGGCGGTGGGGTCTCAAGTTTCCAAACCATAAAATATTCCATTTATTTAATTCTTTTTATTGTCAATAATTATAAGTCAAATAATTATAATCCTGTAGATATCATAGTTTAATACATTGGAATGATACAGCAATGTGCTTCAACCAATATTATGGGTACGGGTGAATCCAAAAATGAAACCCTAATGCTGCCTCTGACCTGCAAACATAGTTCATGTGTATCATCACGGTATGCTTTGCAATATCTTGGCATCGAATCTACTCGATACCTGATCGCCTCTTCGAAGTTCATGACAGTGCAAGTACGATCCTATATCGGCTGTCCAACTCGTTGCAGTAATATCGCTTCTCATACAGTGCCGGACCTGTATCTGAGAAGCCTCGTCGTGTAGATTCAGCCTTCTGGTAAACGGTCATGGTATCATTTCACTATCACACAGGAAAACGAAACAAAATTGAGTTGAAAGACATGAGAGAGTCCAAGAGAATCTTAAAATCATGAGAAAACGGCATATTAGTGGGTGTCAAAATCACACATATTATTCCAATAAACTGGGAAACTATAGGCCTGCTCTTAGTTCAGGTTGCTGACAAGATTAGCAATACATCCTAGTTGGAAAATGACATCCCGCCAACCATCATTTCATGGATTCCATGATTCCCATGATATAAGCAAGATTTACATAAACATATCAAATTATCCAAGCTTTTAAGCTTAAAATGGTTCATGAGATTGTCATAACTCCTCACATTGGTCCTTGAGATTTAAAATCGATAGAAGTGGTCGCTGAGATTGTCCACCTGTCAATCATTTTGTTCCTTCTATGAAAAATCTTCTTTAAATTGAAAAAAGCACCAGTTCAAGGGGAGGAGTTGATTTGACAAAAATACCATTTAATGGAGATTTCTCACGAAATGACCAAAATGATTGATGGTGGATAATCTCAAGGACCACTTCTTTCGGTTTTAAATCTGAGGGACCATTTGGATAAAAAGCCAATTATCAATGCATGTACAGTACCTTGACAGTCTCACAGAATCTAATATCATCACTAAAAAACAAGAGCAATTTAACAATGGAACCTTGTACAAGGAACAGAAGATGTAAAATTGCAAAATCAAGACAGCTGATGATTCTCGAAAATATGAAGATAACGGAACCAAGAAAATGTGGACAAGTTAGTGTTACTATTACTTATTCCGCCTTCAGTGTGACCACTGAAGTTGGAATAGATATGCGTGGATGAGGATTTGATTCAGTATGAACTGCTGTCGAACATCTTTTAAGTTGACAATTTTCCATGAACTACAAATCTGGACATTTCTACCAATATCGATTGATGTCAACCTAAAATTGATATTTGCTCCTGTGCTCTATTTTTCCTGTATACGAACTTGAGCTTCTATAGACAAGACATGACTATAGCTATGAACTTTCACTCATATGGATATAGATGACACTGAACTCCCCAGATCATGACGGAACAAAGTTTAGAGCACGGATATAGATGGTAAGTTCAGCTTTCATATATGGGATACCAAAAACTAACCATTTCAAATTAATTGAATTTATATATTAGATGATAATAACAAATATAAATCAAAATTGCTAACTCGTAAAAAATTTGTATTGTATCATTCATATCACTACCACTAGAATGTATGGACATACTCAGCTCAGAGTTTGATATCCTAGAGGCCCTTGCACTCCGTCTTGCCTTGTGTTCTTTCCCATCAGAGAAGGCATCCACGGGAACATTTTCCCAAGCTCCTTGCTTATTGTACTCGGCCTAAGTTGCTTATCATTAATTCCAAATTTTGCTCTTTCAATTGCTTCCATTACATCTTCTCTGGCCACAGTTTCACCACCTGCAACAGACCATAGATTGATAGGAAGTTGAGATCCGTGTACAATTTCAGAAAACCAAAAGATAATTTGGATGTACTGTATACCCTACCCCTACGAGCAGCAAGTAAAGCAGCTTCATTGACGATGTTTGCAAGATCAGCACCTACAAAACCTGGTGTCAGTGAAGCAATGAGATTGCAAATAAGATTAGTGTCTTCCTCCAAAGGAACTCCTCTCAAATGTACAGCCAATATCTTTCTCCTTCCTTCTTCATCTGGTTCTCCTACAACTATTTTTCTTGAGAAGCGGCCTGGCCTACAAAGGGCAGAATCCAGTACTTCGGGCCTGTTTGTTGCTGCAACAACAATCACCTTCGAGTCTGACTCAAATCCATCCATTTCCGTCAGCAACTACAAGAACGGAAAAAAAAATTCGATGAAAAAACATTATTGAATTGATATTAAAATAAATTTCAAACATACATTACAGATGACAAGATGTCCACTGAAATCCATATCTAAGATCTACCGACACAATAATGTGGTTATCCTTAATACCGCCTTCTACTATTGTACATAACAGCAGAATAAAAAAATAAGCTAATTTTACGTGTTGATACTTGATAGCTATTTAGACTTGAAAATTGAAAACAAAACTAAGGACATTAAGGGAAATACTCGATGTTCTAAGGTTGAAGGTGAAAGTATTAAGCTAAACGCACAGTAAATAAGCAAGAAAAGTTGGCAAGATTTTAAAGGAGACCAATATTATTTTCCCATCATACAAAATCAAACAGGAGAGAACAAGAGTCTTCCCAACTACAGTGATTTGACAATTTTCAAAAAGTTTGGAAATACAAATAATGGCCCACGGATGAAATTATATACTAACAATTCCAGAAGACATTCAGAATGTGACCGCTTAAACTTTGAATGGATGCGAGAAATGCAGGATTGAAGCCAGAATTGAACCTTGAATTACCTGATTCAATGTTTGGTCACGCTCATCATTGAAACTTCTGCCACGCTTCGTTCCAACTGCATCAAGCTCATCAATGAATACAATTGAAGGTGAATGTTTCCTTGCCATATTGAAAAGGTCTCTAATGCGAGCTGCTCCTCTTCCAACAAACATCTCCACAAATTCACTGGCAGAAACACTGAAAAATGGTACACCTGCTTCTCCAGCCACTGCACGGGCAAGTAATGTTTTCCCTGTTCCGGGAGGACCAACCAGCAATACCCCTCTGGGTAACTTTGCTCCTAGTTTGTTGTAGTTAATAGCTCCTTGCAAGCATAAAACTATCTACAAACAAGAAAGATGTCAAGAAAATAAAGGAAGAAAATTGTATAAATAATTAAATAACAAGAATATATTTCAGTGCCTTTGTTTGTAATCACGTATACAAACAGGTCGTAAAATCCACTAGGGTAACAAACATCATAGTTTTGAGAGGCAATAATAAACTTTAGAAGGACATAAAGCTTAAAGAGATCCCGTTATACAAGACTTATGTTATTCACTTACTTGTCTAACACCTCTGAATAAAACGAGAAACATCCACAAGATTATATCTCAATAAAAGATATGCACCCTGAAAGGCTCATCGCCATGTGTGATAGGACTTGTTGCAAGCCTTGGGATACCTTCCCAGCACTGTTCTGGATACAAATTTCGATTCATGATGTGAACCAGCCTTTATATTTAACAGAAATGCACAACTTTCTCCGTAGTATATATATTTTGTTCAAGCCTTTGGTGTTTCAAGCTCACAGACATCAGAACATTCCAACAACAAGCAAAAGATGCACTGTTTTGGCTGTGATGCTCTATCTTTCTATCTAAGAACTGATAAATATGTCTTCCTAGTGTTTATAACTTGTATCAGTAATGTTTAAGCCACAAGCTTCCAAGCTTTCACGGAGTACATAATTGTAGCAAGCAGAGTGAAGGATATCCACAGTTCCGAGATAAGAAAAGTAAGTTACCTCATTATCAACTACATAATCAAGTTAGCAATGCAAAAAAGTATCAATGCATAGAAATAAAGCATGCAACATATCTAATCTATTCTAGAGAAGAGATGTGTACCTCCATAAGCTCCAATTTCGCAGCATCAACTCCCTCAACATCTTCAAATCCAACCAACTGCTTATCAGGTCGCCGCTTTCTAGCTGGGCTATTAGCAGCAGAAAGTTGACGATAAAGAAGCCACATCAATGGCATCAAAGGAATCCACAGAGATATTATAGTTATCAAAGTAGTCCTCATTGACATCAAAACTGATTGAGGAGCCGAGCTATATGTAATTCCTTTCTCTCTCATCAAACTAAGTAAAAATTTCTCATCATGATCTACTTTTCTGGTCATATACTGCCAGTCAGGCGTAGAAGCTTGAGTCGGTGATAATTTTCTCAATACATTCCTATTCAGTGCTTGACTAGATCGAGAGCCATCATTACTTGTGACTTTATCAGCCACATTCTCACTTTCAATGCTTGGCAATTCTCCCTCAGACAATTGGGTACCCCCATCAACGCGAGAATTTGTGTTATAATATATCCGACGAGACCCCTCTTCAAGTAGAACTTTTGTAACAGACTCATTTTGAAGGCTTGTTATCAATTCTGAATATGGAACCATTTTCCAAGAGGGCACAGCTGTGAACTTCAGAAACAAATAGCAGAGCCCCAATATCGCAGAAACCAAAGAAACAAGTGTCACTCTTCTCATGTTCATTCGCAAGAAAGTCCCAACACCATTCAACACTGACTGAATTGTAACTCTTTTCATTCTCATAGCTAACCACCGCAACCTCGGGCGCAATCTCAAAGAAAATCTCCTCCTCAAAGACCTCAACTTAGTGTCTCCTTTCTTCCCCAAATGGACCCGCTTATTCGCGCTATTTGCATTCATAAATGGCTCCATTTTATTGTAACAACACAACCCATGTCTAGATTTACAACAACTATTCAATCCCTCTAACCAAACTCCACTGTTTCCATTCATCAGTGGCCTAAGCTCATTGTTCAAGAACAACCCACGTTGAAAGTTTCGCAATTTACGAAAACCCACGGAACGAAAAGCAAATGAACTACAGCAACCTCTGAACCTTCCCAAAGACTTGGACTTGTCGCCGTGAAATTCTAATTTGTTGGGGATAGATAAGAACCCAGTATTGGAAACAACAGAAAAACAAGAAGCCATGCTTTTCTCTACAAAAACACTTGTCTACTGAAACAACAGAGCAAAACCCACTAACTTTATCACCACCATTGCAAAATTAACACAGAAAAACTCATAAATTTGTGTAATTTGGCAAGAAAAATGAACAAAATTCAGAAAAATATACCTGTCAGAGCTGCTTTAGAACTCACAATTCTCAGAGCAGGGGAAGTTTGTGGGAGCAGGAAGAGTGTTTGCTAGTGATTTTTTGGAAGATGGGAGATGAAAGTGAAAGTCTTTGTGGGTTGGGTCCATCAATGAGGAGTAAAAAAGGAAGAAAGCAGTTTGCTAAGAACTGAGATAAATTATCTCGAAGGTTTTGCTAACACATTAGTTAATTCTCACTTTACAACTTATTGTAAAATTTACACTTTATTATCCTTAATTCTTTCCTTTCACTTTCTAACCTAAAGTTACGATTTGTCATTCATAAAAGTCTAATACCTAAAAAAAAAAATTTGGGCAATAACAAAATTATCATAAATCCAAAAAAAAATATTTAAACAAAAAACACTATAAAATAGAAAAATTTTACTTACATTTTTCGACTATCACTACAAACCGGCATTCGTGTCGTGTTTCTGTGTTCGTGGTTTTCTGAACCCGATAGCTAACGGGGGGGTGTAATACCTGTTAAAGTAAACAGGAATTGACCACCGAATCACCCGTTAATATACAGGAATTGACCCGACCGTACCGTAAGAAAATTATATTTTAAATCATTAAAAATGAAAAGAAAACATATTTGCCCAAAAAAAGTAAAACATATCCTAAATAATATATACATAATTTGGAGACCCCTAAGAAGTTGTAAGTTTTAATTACGTGTGATATATCACATTATATTATTAATTTTCACTAAATAATAACATTGTTCATGAGATTTTTAAAAATCTACACTTATTTATACTTTCATCAAGTATAACATAAGATTTTATGGTATCCACTAGTGTAAATAATTTAAATTGAAGATCGAATTCATTCATTGTATTCATATAGGGTCAATGAGTGTAGCTGTAAAAAAGCATCAAAATCGGAGTTAAAATAACCGTTAAATCGTAATTTTTCGTTTATAACCATCGAAAAGTTTTGTCTCGTTACTTGATCTCTAAATGTTTTTTTTTTTGCAATTTTTGGCGTATACGATCTTGAAGCATATATAAATAAGTTTGACGGTTGGATCGTTGAAATTAGTTTCGTAGGATGCGTATCCCATCAAAACGATAGATTCACTAACACTTAAGAATTTATTTATACTTTCATCAAGTATAACATAAGATTTTGTGGTATCCACTAGTGTAAATATTTTAAATTGAAGATCGAATTCATTCATTGTATTCATTTAGGGTCAAGGAGTGTAGCTGTAAAAAATCATCAAAATCGGAGTTACAATAACTGTTAAATCGTGATTTTTCGTTTATAACCATCAAAACGTTTTGTCTCATTACTTGATCTCTGAATGTTTGTTTTTTGCAATTTTTGGCGTATGCGATCTCGAAGCTTATATAAACAAGTTTGACGGTTGGATCATTGAAATTAGTTTCATAGGATGCATATCACATCAAAACGATAGATTCACTAACACTTAAGAGTTTATTTATACCTTCATCAAGTATAACATAAGATTTTGTGGTATCCACTAGTGTAAATATTTTAAATTGAAGATCGAATCCATTCATTGTATTTGTTTAGGTTCAAGGAGTATAGTTGTAAAAAATCATCAAAATCGGAGTTAAAATAACCGTTAAATCGTGATTTTTTGTTTATAACCGTCGAAAAGTTTTGTCTTATTATTTGATCTCTGAATGTTTGTTTTTTGCAATTTTTGGCGTATGCGATCTTGAAGCATATATAAACAAGTTTGACGGTTGGATCGTTGAAATTAGTTTCTAAGATGTGTATCCCATCAAAACAATAGATTCACTAACACTTAAGAGTTTATTTATACTTTCATCAAGTATAACATAAGATTTTGTGGTATCCACTAGTGTAAATATTTTAAATTGAAGATCGAATTCATTCATTGTATTTATATAAGGTCAAGGAGTGTACCTGTAAAATATCATCAAAATCGGAGTTATAATAACCGTTAAATCGTGATTTTTCGTTTATAACCGTCGAAAAGTTTTGTCTCGTTACTTGATCTCTGAATGTTTTTTTTTTGCAATTTTTGGTGTATGTGATCTCGAATCATGTATAAACAAATTTAACGGTTGGATCATTGAAATTAGTTTCATAGGATGCGTATCCCATCAAAACGATACATTAACTAACACTTAAGAGTTTATTTATACTTTCATTAAGTATAACATAAGATTTGTGGTATACACTAGTGTAAATATTTTAAATTGAAGATCGAATTCATTCATTGTATTCATATAAGGTCAAGGAGTGTAGCTGTAAAAAGTCATCAAAATCGGAGTTAAAATAACCGTTAAATCGTGATTTTTCGTTTACAACCATTGAAAAGTTTTGTCTCATTACTTCATCTCTGAATGTTTGTTTTTTGCAATTTTTGGAGTATGCGATCTCGAAGCATGTATAAACAAGTTTGACGGTTGGATTGTTGAAATTAGTTTTGTAGGATACTTATCCCGTCAAAACGATAAATTCACTAACACTTAAGAGTTTATTCATACTTTCATCATTTTGATGGGATACGCATTGATGTTATACTTAATGAAAGTATAAATAAACTTTAAGCGTTAGTGAATCTTATCGTTTTGATGACTTGGAATAAATATATTAATTATTTATATATTTTAAGTGTTAATTAGACTATGTTTCAATTAGTATGTGATGATATTTAATAATAAAATTACATTTATGTTTTTTTATTATGTATTTTATTTTTATTCAAGTTAAAATGTTATAAGAGATAAAAAAAAAAAAAAAAAAAAAGCTGGTTACTTTTTTTCTTTGGGTTAAACATTAGGCGGGAAATGGATGGATATAGGTTGCAAAATTTCCCAAACATTAGGTGGGAAATGGATGAAACTCTTGAAATATTAGGCGGGAAATTAATTATTATATTTTTTTTATGTTTTTGGTATTTTTAAATTACTTGATATTTTTATTTTTAATGTGTTTTATGATTTTTAATCTCAATCTTTGCCTATAATATATTATAAAAATAAATAAATAAATAAAACTTAAAATTTAAAATTTATATAAAATAATAATAGAATAATAATTAATAAACAATATATACATATTCATTATATCTATTGCATTTTATAGTAAGTTTTTTTTTAGTAGTTTAAAAAATTAAAATCATCAAAATAGCAATTTTCTTATCGTGTCGAAACAGGTTACCCGCGTGTCACTTTCGTGTAAACCTGTTAAGAACCCGTTATTAACGGGTTATTATCGTGTGACCCGATAATGACCCGATTAGTTATCGTGTTGATCCGAAACCCGTTATTTTCGTGTCGTTTACGTGTCGTGTTAACGGGTCGTGTAATAAATTGCCAGGTCTTTTTACCCTCCTCTCATTCGTTTTTTTTTAAGAAAGTCAGCACAACATCTGTCATCAACTCTAAAGTCGTTAATATCTCCACCATTTGATCTGAACACCTCACTCTATAGGCATACTCGCCCCATGCACACACTAAGCCAATGTTGATTTCAGACTAGCTACGACCAAGTCGTTGTCACTTCGATTCTCAAATTCCACTACCAAATCCAATTCCCATTTCTAATCAATACATACCCGCTTTAGATTTGTACCCAACACTCGGCTACAAGATGTTCAAGCCAAATGCAACGTTTTTTACAACATGACGGAGATGAACTTCACAAACATGTTCGTCGCGCAGATGGACGCAGGTAAGAGGTGTACCCACCGGCTTAAAGATAAAAGGAGGTTGCGTTGGTGCAGATTTGGAGTGGGTCGGGTTGGTGTGGGGTGGGGGAGAGTTTGGTGGTGCGGATGACGTGCACGAGGTTGCACGTGAGAGAATGAGAGTGGTAGAGAAAATATTTTTTCTTATATTTTAATTTTTAATTTTTCAATATTTATAAGAGTGGTAGAGAAACTATTTTTCTCTTATATTTAATTTTTAACTTTTCAATATTTATGTTTTTTTCTTTGTATAGAAAAACATTTTTGATTAATTTTAAATTTTTTGTTGGGGCCAAAGGTTTGCCATGTCATTTTACAATGAAGGACTTAACAATTATATTAGTTTTTTGGAGCAAATCGTAATTTTAGATATGAAATTGAGACGAAAATATTAAGGGTGGTGTAAACTTCACGATAACCCCTATATTATTACATGTTATGTGCTGTGATTGGTTCTTTTGTTTCTCTACCTTTGGGTATGGCTGCACAAGATTCAACTTTTTTTTACTAAGTTGGACTAGTAGTCCCCATATTTTAGTATGATATTCACTTTCATCCTAAGGGTTTGTTTTCTTACATTTTCATCCTATAGTTTTTTTTTTTTTTTTTTTTTTTCAATTTACACACGCCCATGAAAGTAGAATTGAATCCGGGAGCTAGAAAAGATGAAGTGAATGTTTTTAATTATATGAGCTACAAATCTTACACTCTGGTAATTTTATTTAATTAACGTTATTAGTCCAATTTATCAAATAAGTTCAAAATAAAATGATGGATTCCACATTAGTACGATTTTGAAGTCCAAAACAAGGTCTCCATTATAATGGGGAAAAGAAAGAGTGATAATTTTTAACTTTTCAATATTTATGTTTTTTCTTTGTATAGAAAAACATTTTTGATTAATTTTAAATTTTTTGTTGGGGCTAAAGGTCTGCCATGTCATTTTATAATGAAGGACTTAACAGTCAGATTAGTTTTTTTGGACCAAATTGTAATTTTAGATATGAAATTGAGACGAAAATATTAAAGGTGGCGCAAACTTCACGATAACCCCTATATTATTACATGTTATGTGCTGTGATTGGTACTTTTGGTCGCTACCTTTGGGTATGGCTGTGCAAGGATTTTTTTTTTTTTTTTTTTTTTTACTAAGTTGGACTAGTAGTCCCCATATTTTAGTATGATATTCACTTTCATCCTAAGGGTTTGTGTTCTTACATTTTCATCCTATAGGTTTCTTTCAATTTACACATGCCCATGAAGGTTGGATTGAACTCGGGAGCTAGAAAGGATGAGGTGAAAGTTTTTTATTAACTGAGCTGCAAACTTACATTCTTGTCATTTTATTTAATTAATGTTATTAGTCTAATTTATCAAATAAGTTCGAAGTAAAACGATGAATTTTACATTAGTACGAAACTATAATGCTAACAAGAAATAATCTTCCAATAAATCATTCAAAAAACATCGCAAAATCATTTCGAAACCGGGGCAGCTGCCAACAAACGACGGATATATTGATGTCGGGTGATATCTAACAAACCACGCGTTCTGTTGTCGTTGGTTTGCCATTAAGCGAGGACTCCAAAACGCCGCCATCGCGCTTCAGGTTCACTAAACGGCGTCGTTCAAGTCGGTTCCGTGTGCGTCACAGTCCGTTGACGCCGAGGCATCAATACTTCCTGAATTTATGGTGGATGTAGAAATATCAGTCAATCGTATCCGATGATATTTTGATCCTAGTGAGAGAGAGAGAGAGAGAGAAAGAGAGGACGCACTCTTTCGCTCACAATGCAAACACGCGTAAAGCTCCATTTGGTTTTGGTGGATGACACAAACTACCATTCTTAGACCCTCCTCTGTCTGAATCTCATTGATTGGAAGCAGCTGAAGAAACAGCCGCCATTTGAGAGAAAAGGAAGCAACTTTAACGAGCAGAAGAACGAGCAGAAGAAAACCCATCAAATTTATCCAATTTCCCAGGTGGGTATTCAATTTTTCCTGCTTTTGACTGTGGTTTCGATTTGGGTTTTTGATTTTTTTTTTTTCCTCATTGCGTTTAGAGATTGGTGGTTCTATGGAGATTGGTGGATGTTTGATTATCTTCCACTCTGCCCATCTGATTTGTTTTTGTTTTGGTTTGGTTCTGAATTTGATTTATTTTCCTGGTATTGGGTATGCTTTTGTTTGTCCAGATGAGATTTTTGTTGTGCTTGGATTTCAGAATGGTCTCTTTGTCACCAAGTGACCAAGGAATGTATGGTCACGCACCTTTGGATTTAATATCAAGGCTGGAGAATAAATGAATATGCATTTAGTGCTTTTATCTCCACCCTTATATTATATTCAAGGGTGGGTCACCATAAATCTTTAGAAACCTAACAGACTCGTTTGGATTATATGTTAAATGATAGGTTGGGAGCAAACTTGTGTTGTGATTGTTCGATGGGGTGATAATATTCCTCTTGTTGTATTGTGGTATCATTTGCTAGATCATCTTCTTATGTGCGCGTCTTTGTTGTTTCTCCTGATATGCTACCCAGTTTCTGTCCATATACATTGTTGTCTCTTCAGCTGTTGTACCATATTTAAAAGCTAAAGGGTATGTCATATTTGTTTACTAATGGAAGTTATCTGCCAAATGGTTCGATAGATTATTTTCAGTTGATACTTTTAGAGCCGTCTAACTTGCGAGTCTTCTTAGCAATTCGACAGCAATAGGTTGCTGTTATATTAATGGCTAAAGGCCTACCACAAGTTTTCGTTGGTATGCTTTTTAATGTTTATGGAGTGGGTTTGCTTGTATTCGTGTATTTGTGGTAGATTTTTGTGATTGTAAGCAGTATCATTTTTCCTTCATTTCACCTCTTTCAGTGTTGCCGGTCTATTTGGTCCACGAAATTGATCAAGGAAACAATGCAATGTGGCGTGCAAGAGATTCTTTGAGATAGTGGAATGGAAAACAAACTAGAAGAAGATGATGACCATGAGCCAGGTCCAGTTCCTCCACTGAGATTGGACAGATTTGGCTTCTTAAAGCCAGAAATTTCACCTGAAGGTTTAACCAAGAGCAGGTCAGCCTTTGAATATGATAGGTAAGCTTACCAATATATTGTTTTCTGCTTTACCATTTGTATTTGGTCATAAAAAGTTCACTTAATGAATATGAGATTCGAGCAAATTAACATTTCATTCAAGCTAATCGTATATCGTGGCTCTTCACCTTTTTCAGAGAGGAAAGAAGAGTTAGAAAATGGAGGAAGATGATTGGGGTGGGAGGGAGTGATTGGAAACATTATATTAGGAGAAAACCTCACTGTTGTTAAAAGGAGAATAAGGAAAGGAATTCCTGATTGTTTAAGAGGTCTCGTTTGGCAGTTGATCTCTGGAAGTCGGGATCTGTTGCTGATGAACCCTGGGGTTTACGAGGTACATATTATTATCAGTAGTTATATCTTTATGTCATTGCTTTATGAGTTTGCAAGAAATGATTCTCTGTTTTGCTCATAAGGGAAGGATCCCCCCTTTTTGTTTACTTCTGCTATAGAATACTTACGCTTTAGTATTATATTAAATATCAACCCATGACAGAAGGTACTGTGTACCAAATCAGATGGTTCACTGGGGATGACATAGTCAATCATTTGAAACGCATAATAAATGTTATGTGGCTTCATCTGAACCATCTGGTAAATCTGGGGTTGGAAAATATATTAAAATGCTGTTCTTTAATGAAAAGCTAAATGCTTTAGCAGTTTATAATGAAGACCACCGCTGCCAAAATCCTAGCGAATTACAGAAGTTTGACATGGCACTTTGGCAAAGTAAAATGTTTTATGCAGATTCATCTCTAATATGAGCTATGAACCAAACCTTATGTTAAACCTTTTTCTAAGTGGGCTCCAGTTGGAGAATCACAATTTTCTGAAGCGAAATTTTTTTATATAGATTATGAACTGAGTTTACCTTGATGCGTACCTGGTGGTGTTGCTAGTTAAAATGTAGCAAAGGGTTGTAGAAAAAATACTTCCGAAGTTATCATTCCTATCTTACAGTGTTCCAAACCTGCTGCCAGTCTTTGACATGGTTTGATGTTGACCAGCACTGAAAAGTAATGCCAAAAGTCAATGTTCAAGCAATAGGCTTAAGATCTTTCCACCTTGAGCACTTCATGCATTAGCTGGGTTCATGTTAGTTGAATTTAAAGATATACCGTTTGAGTCGTTAGTGTAGAAAATGGATAACTACGTGGTCTGGGATTATTTAGGTGAGGTTGATTGTGGCTAGACAAATTTAATTACACTGCTCTTCCTTATTTGTGATTATTCTTTTTGCATCCCAAGTTGGTCTATCATCTTATGCTCTTCTTTCTTTGTGTACACTCACCCATAGTATTAAACTAAGAAGTGGTGTGGTTGTTGCAGCAATTAGTGATTTATGAGACGTCAGCTTCAGAGCTGGATATAATTCGAGATATTTCGCGAACCTTCCCTTCACATGTTTTCTTCCAGCAGAGACACGGCCCTGGTCAAAGGTCCCTCTACAATGTTTTGAAGGCATACTCTGTCTTTGACAGAGAAGTTGGATATGTTCAGGTTTGACACTGTCTTTTTGTTTGCTCTTGCACTTAGTTTATGTCAGACACTGGATAATTTTAAATGGTTAAAAGAATGCAGGGAATGGGATTTCTGGCTGGTCTTTTACTTCTTTATATGAGTGAAGAGGATGCATTTTGGTTATTAGTTGCGTTACTAAAAGGAGCAGTTCATGCACCAATGGAAGGTTTATATCAGGTATAGCTCTTACTCTATATGAACATCTTGATCTTATCTTTGGCGGTTTGTAGACTAATTAGATGTAATCAGGCCCGCCATTACTTTACCTAAAAAGAAGAATGTTAGAGCTGCTATTTTATCATCTGGTCCATTTTCTATAGTCAAAAGCAACAGCAAAAACAAAAGAAACTGATGTTATCAGATAAAGCAATTGGTCAAATTGATTTAGGTGGTAAATTACAATTAATTGGGGTGAGACTTTAACGTAAACTTGCGAGTTTCGGAAGGAGTATATTGCTAGAAGGATTAATTGTTGTTAACTCAGTATGTTGTAATATATACTAGGTTTCGAAACTATAACCTTATGCTCTAGGGTGGCGGGCCTTTATTTTATCTTTTATTATAATTTATTTTTGTCTTCTAGGCTACTTGCAAAGCGCATTGGTTTCTCTTCATGCAAATTAAAGTTTTATCCATGTTTTTCTTTCTTTTCAAGGGACACGCAATCTGAGCATAGAGCCTACACCTTCGTTATACTTTATCTGTTGTTTCCAGTGCCTACACCTTTGTTTTACGTGAAGGATTTTCTTATATTATTTGGTGGCTTTCTGAGCTTTCTGGAGCTCTAATTCTGTTATGATGTTTTTGTTGTTGTCTTAAGTATGCCTCATATCTATTTGTGGTTTTGATCACCTTGTTCACTTTCATTCTTATCTATATGGGTTATCCCTAGTTTGTTCGTTTGTTATATTGAAGGCCGAGAAAAGGATAAAATGGCTTCGGTGCTCTTAGAAATGTTAGTTTATGCTTGTCATGTAGGTAGGGCTACCACTGGTACAACAATACCTTTTTCAGTTTGACCAGTTAGTAAAGGAGCACTTGCCAAAGCTGGGAGAGCATTTTACTCAAGAAATGATAAATCCAAGCATGTATGCAAGCCAGTGGTTCATAACCGTTTTCTCCTACTCTTTCCCGTTCCATTTGGCTCTTCGAATTTGGGATGTCTTTCTCTACGAGGTTAGTGATTTTTAATGTCTTGCATCCTCTCTTTCGAATTACAATTGGTGGTTGGAGTCTATTCTAAAATAAATCAGTTTGTATTTTTCACAGGGTGTTAGAATCGTTTTCAAAGTTGGTTTAGCCTTATTAAAGTATTGCCACGACGACTTGGTGAGTGCATCAGGACGGCTGTCTGCTCCGCACCATGATAACTAGAACTATTGCCTTCTCATACTCTGTTTTCCTGCTTGTTTTTGACAGATAAAATTACCCTTCGAGAAACTTATTCATGCTTTGCGTAACTTCCCTGACAATGCAATGAATCCGGATACTTTACTTCCATTGGCTTACTCAATCAAGGTTTTTCTCCATATCCATTTCGTTGCTTCTATCATCATAATTTCTTGTTTCGTTGATGGTTGAAGTTCCAATATTGTAATTTGCTGCATCATTCACACTCAAATGTCTTTCGATGATCTCACTAGGTATCAAGGGGTTTGGAGGAAACGAGGCAGGAGTACGAGAAGAAGAATGGAAAGGGAGGTCAGTTGCCAGAGAGTGAGAAGCGGTTGGAATGAAGGTTGTGCTCATCTCATCGGAGCGCCATATAAATTAACATGTCATTCATCATCTTTCCGGCATTGCAGCTATTGTCCAGAAGAATGTATCATTGACAACTTGGCATCGATCGTTGTTTGATAGTTGCGTCCTTGTTTATGAACTCCCCTATTCATGTTACAAGCTCAAACGTTGTTAGATGTGAAGATTTGTTAACGTATATTAAGATGAGAAAACCTAAAGGAAGTGTATAAATCTTGTAATTCTTGCATTAATCTTGGCTGCAGCTATTCCATCATCCACATGAACTCCTGTTTTAAATTTTACTGACGATGTTTGCAAGGATTTTTGGGTCCCGGCTCCTATGTACCGGCCTTCTACGTAGCTAGGCCGTGCTTTTGAGTTTTTGTCAAGCCTTTGGCACGAGGCCGGTACAAAGGAGCGGGATTATTTTGAAATATATGAGGCCTCAGTCTAGGGGTCATCATTCGACCTTCGGTCCGAGAGTGAAAGAGGGCAGCTCCGTAGTCTAAAGCCCGATCGATCTAGTGAAATGAAATTACGAATCAAATCTGATTGAGTGATCTAATCCGTAGATTTCGTAACTTTCCAAATTAAAGCCCTGATCTACTCAACTACAATGAATCTAGATTTTCTTTGAAACGACTTTAAAGAGATTTAAGCCGTTGATTTCACTTCTTTATTTTTCCACCCCACTAAGAAAAATTCTACCATACAACAAGAAAGAATAAATACCCCTTCTGTTTATCTCCATACAATGACGGAAATGAAATATATCTCTGATTAGACTAAGATCATATTTATCCCTTGAGTTAAAACTTAAAATTTATAACTCATAAAATTTAAGTTTTAACACAGAAACAATTTTTTTTGCTCTAAGCCATCTGGGTTAAATTTGTAGCTCGAGATGATTAAAGAATGAATTTAGGATTTTTTTTTTCTTAAAGTAACTTATAGAAATATATAGACTATCCTAATTTAATTTTATGAACATTTTTACCTAAAAATATTTAGATTCCAATAAATATAGAAGAAAAAAATCACTAAATCGTCACTATAAAACTCAACACTATGATTGAATGTGAAATACATGAACAATTTTCTTTTAATTATTAAAGTTGTCGAATTTAAATTTGGACAGTTAGATCTACTTTTTTTAACCGTTGGATTTGACCATATTAAATCTTAGTCATTGGATTCAATGAATTTATAAACATAAAACTAAAAAAAATACACATGTATGGACGGCCAACCCACTACTTAGGGAGGAATTCTGGCCTCGACTTGCCCCAAAATAAATTTTGAGTTAAAACTTATATTTGGCTCAAGAATTAGAACAAATTAGAGTAGATTTAGAATTTAAAATGTGAGTTTTACTCAAGAGTTGGAGTAAACCTAAAAGATATACCAATCGGGACGGGACACACAATCTTTTAAATCATAGAAGCTAAAAGCCTAAAACAATAATTTACTTTCTTTATCGAGCATAAGCAAAGTTGATGCCAAATATGCGCTTGTGGCAGAAAAGACCAAAGAGTAGTTTTCAGAATTCATATACACAGACAGACACAGCTGCACAGCATTACTTGACCCACATGCTAACGGCACCCATTGACAATTGGCATGCATGCAGGATTCCTCCTCATTTTCTGCCTCGAGAGAGAACGAGAGGCATCAAAGCCTGCTTTCGAGGTGGGAAGAAGTGAGAAGAAATCGTATCTGAATATGTTACTTCAAAACTATCGGATCAAGTGATCTGTACCTTTAAAATTTCATTCAACAGTCCACTTGTTTTGAAATTTTAAAAGTTATAATAATTTTAGATCGTGGGATGAAATTTCAAATTTCCGAATTATTTGATCTGGTGACTTTGGTGGAAGAGATCCGAAGAGAATCTCTTCTCGAAAGAAGTTGGAATATGTCCTACTCCAACCTAGTGTAATATTAGCCACGACTCGTTACACGACTTAAAGCAAGCATTCAATTACTTTACTTGCTAAGAAGCGTACGGTTTGACACAAATTTGTGTGGTTTGGCACAAATTTAGCATGAACATAATTAGGTAAACATGAACATGGCATGAGTATGACAGAATATAAATAGGTAAAGAAATGTTAATGGGACTCTTTTAAAGTGACTTTTCAAAGATTCTCTTCCACTTCATATTTTAACGTCAATTTTCGTATTAACATCATAAATATTGTGCCAAAAACCTTAGGTGACAAATAATTCATAGAGAATCTCACTTTAAAAGAATCACCTTAGCATTTAAATGAGTAAACATGAATATTAAAATGACAATTAGATACACATGTAAGTTTTTCCAACTTAAAATTGTGTATACGCTTTGGCATTGGTGGTGATACTACTTTTTCAACTTGCTTTTACGTTGGTGAGTAGGCATTAATTGCATGCATTTGTTTAATTAGAAGATGCTTTCCAAGAAACGAAAGAAATTTAGAAGATGCTTAACCTCCGAATCACGATATTAGGAGAGATGCATGCATTGGCACAAAAATTGGATGACCATTCGCCCCTCTTTATATTCCAAAATTAAACATTTAATAACGATTAAAAAAAAAAAACTAAATTGATTAACGATGGAAAATTTAGGAATCAATTTTATCAATTTTAAATGTTAAAGACCATAATAAAGAGTTATGTTAATTTCAAAAACTATATTGATTAAAATACCAAATTAAATGAATACAGAGTTGAACTGGATGGTGTTGCATTGCATGTGAGATGTTCCGAATAAGTTTTTTATCTTTTTTTGGTCAAAAAGATAGAAATTTATGAAAGCTGAATGACAAGGTTTATCAGCGGCAAGAATATTAAATAAAAAATCCGGACCAATCTCATCCTAAAGAAACTCGCCACCATGCTTGGTAGCAAACGAAGCTATCTCGTGAGTAGCCAAGTTACCTTCCCGCGGAATGAACCCAAACTTAACAAAATCAAATTGCATAACTAAAGATTCAATATCAAACAGCACCCCTTCTAATACTGCATCCCTTTCCATCTGTCTAATAATCCTACGAATCCAAGATTGGGAGTCAGATTCCACCTCCACCTTTGTACAACCGCTGTTTCTACAAAACATCAATGCTGCCCTCACGGCAGCAGACTCAGCAGCAATGGCAGGACAAAAAATCAATTTAGCTCGCTTTGAAATCCCAGCAAAGTCTCTTAACACCCACCCAAAACCACCCAACCTCGTCTTTGAGTTCCAAACACCATTGCAATTAATTTTCAAAGTTCCAAATTCCGGCTTCTTCGGCCATCTTTAACCAAAGGTCCAAATGACCGAAAATAGCCCAAAAACCGTCTCCAACCGAGGCTAGGCCAGAGGGTTCGTGGAATCTGAGAGGGCCCCACGGAATCTGAAAGGGCCAAAGGGCTGGAGTGCTGGTCAGAAAAAACACCAATCATATCAGTTATAACCGACATGAATGCTTAAACTAAAATTTGAATCCAACGGCTAGCTGGTGGCAGTTACCGTTGGATTCAAATATTTTTTTTTTAGGTTTTTTGGGCCTTTTTTTTTTTAATTCTTAAAAATTCTAATTTTTTTTCCTATAAATACTTAAATCATTCATTCATCATTCCCTTATATTTAATTTGTAGTTTTTAAATTTAATTCGTCGTTTTTAAATTTAAGTTGTTGTTGGATTTGAATTTGAGTTGTTGTAGTTTTTAAATTTAAATAATAAATTATGTTTGGCCCTTTGGCCCTCGGTTGGAGACGGTTTTTTGTGACAGGGCTAAAAAGAGTCATATGGCCCTTTGGCTCTCAGTTGGAGACGAAGGCAAATATGACCATGTACTGTTATTAAAATATTAATATCTTGAAGGGCTAGATGGCTAAAACGAACCTTCTGACCAGCCTTCGGTTGAAGATGACCTTCTAACCTCCCTGCACGCCCCTTGCCGATGGAATACTTCCAGGATGCCACGGTCCCTGGTTATCAATCTTAACCATCACATCCCTAAACTCACTCACCTGCCCCCTCCACAACTCCAAAGCCTCCGTTGGATTCCACATCGTTCCACGAAAAAAAAAAAAAACCATATCGTTTCTAACCTTCCAAATTCGCCAAAGACCAAAAACAAATTCTTTCAAAAACTTGGCCTTGGCATCCATATCATGAACCCGTAAAATTTTGATGAGAAATGCAAGGGGGCACTCTTGTAAGGTGGAAAATGTTCTCTATGTACTTTCGACTATCTTACCGTTTAACGTTGATTTTTATACTAATATTATAAAATATTATACTAAAAAACATTAAATGTCAAAATACTTACGAATAATTTTACTTTTAAACGAATTTCTTTAGCATTCTTGAAAGCAGCACTAAGTACTATTCTTTTTGCTTTGGGGTCCAGGTCGCACGGACTAAATCGCAATTGATTTTGATATAAAGTAAGAATCGGGCCCACGCAGCCATACAAGACAAAGCGCGAAGGGTCGAGAACGAAAGCTACAAAAATAACCAGCTCACAGCAGTCACACTGGTCCCTCTCTCACTACGTGGAGCCAATTCACAAACACACTTTCTTATCCTTTCACCACGTGTCGCGACGACTCGCATTCGTCCGCAGCCAATCACCGCCCTCAAATCTCCCGAACCTCTTCGCGCCGTCGCTTTCGCTTTCGCATCGCAGTCTTTTCAAAACATCGATTCCGCGACTAAATGTCCATACCTTCCCATCCACGCAAACAAGGAAGGGCAGAATCGTCCGAATGATAAAATCACGGGAGGTTGCGAGTTGTTTGAGCAAATCCACATGAAGCGGATTGACAGCGTGGCATGACCGTAAATAAAGGGAAATTCCGTGGCGACACACGGCACTCTCTGACGATATAAGGCAACGGTCCCTTGGGTTTCCAACCCTTACGAAAACAACGAAGCACCGATTTTTCTGCTCCCAAAATTTTCGTGACCTCAGTCAGTTTTAGGTTTTCTGTGCGGTATAATTAGGGTTTGCATTTCGCCGAGTCCTTAAAATCTTCGCCTCCTTCGTCCCACTTTTCAAATCTTCAGGTACGATTAGGTTCCATTACTCGCCTTCGGTTCTCGATTCTGTGGATTTTGCTGATTCAATTTTGCGTTTTTATGTATATCTGATCTTTTTTTTGTTTCTGTTGCGTTCAGGTGTTGATATAGAGATTTAAGGGGATTTTTCGAAGGAGATTGTAGATTCCGTTTGGATTATTAAAAAAAAAAAAAATTGTAAGTTTGTTTCCTTAATCTCGGTTGTTTATTTCGTTGTTTGATTTGATTATTGGTATGATTATATGAGGAAGAAATTGTGTTCGTTGATTGATTAGGGTCAAGGTTTTATTTTTGTTGTTGAATTTCATTGATTTGGGGTTGTTTATTCTATATTCTCATGGAAAACGTAATGATTTGGTTTAGAACTTGAATGCATTATTCGCTTTCGATGTTTGGTGGCAATTGTAGTTGCCGATTCTATGCGTATTATCGGTATTTTTGGTCGTTTATTTAATCTCATATGCATACTCCATCTTCCGCAAGACTGGGAATTCCTCAGACACGGCCTACTGCCACTGAGGGATCTTGCTGCCTTACTATATTTTTTCGGCTTTGTATAAACCCCTTATCCCTGTTCGGTAAATTACAATGCTGGTTTGATTCTAATTTTTTAAACACTGATTTGTTTTGTGTACATAATTATAGCACCGTTTGGTGCTTGGATGTATGATTTTATTTAATTTCCTAGCAGAATTGGTTTATTAGAGTTGGTCTACGCTAATTGTTCTTTATTGTTATGAGCAGTTGGATTCTCATTTAATTTGCATAGATTTCTCCTTTAACCTGGATTTGTAAGGTTATTACTTGTGATCTTGATCCCTTTTTGGTCAATCCTTTCTGTAGGAAAATAACTGAATGAGCTAATGGAGTCAAAGGGTGGCAAAAAGGATTCTAGTAGTAGTAAATCATCATTCTACGAAGCTCCCCTCGGTTACAGCATTGAAGACGTCAGGCCTCACGGTGGAATCAAGAAATTCAGATCAGCTGCTTACTCTAACGTAAGTTTTACTGTGTGTTTCATGGTGCTTGTAATTCCTCGATTGTTTTGTATGGACTTCCTTCTAAAATTATACTGTATTGTTCTGTGTGCAGTGCGTTCGGAAGCCATCCTGACTTGTGTTAAGTCCCAACATAACCCCGTGCGATCATTAATACAGCAATCTTACTCTAGTTATTCTAGTCTATTTCTTTTCCCTACTTCTCTCGCTCTCTCGTTCCCTCGCTTGTCATTTCATCTGCTGCTGCAACTCATTTGCTTACTTAAATCGAGATGGCTGTACCGGTCTCTGCAATTGGATTTGAAGGCTATGAAAAGAGGCTCGAGGTCTCTTTCTTCGAGCCTGGACTGTTTGCTGACCCTAAAGGCATGGGTCTTCGTTCTCTATCGAAAGCTCAAATAGATGAGATTCTGACACCAGCTGAGTGCACCATTGTTTCTTCACTGTCGAATGATGATCTTGACTCTTACGTTCTATCCGAGTCGAGCCTCTTTGTGTACCCTTACAAAGTGATCATCAAAACCTGTGGCACAACGAAATTGCTTCGATCAATCCCTGCCATCCTCAAGCTGGCTGACTCCCTCTCTCTAGCTGTAAAATCTGTGAGGTACTCTCGTGGGAGCTTTATCTTTCCTGGTGCTCAGCCCTCGCCGCATCGTAGCTTTTCGGAGGAGGTAGCTGTACTTGACGGCCATTTTGGAAAGCTTGGTTTGGCAAGCAAGGCATATGTTATGGGAAGCCCTGACAAAACTCAGAAATGGCATATTTACTCTGCATCGGCGGAGCTGGCAAGCTTATTGTGGGGTTCACGCCACACAGGCCCAACCTACACTCTGGAGATGTGCATGACCGGTCTAGACAGGAAGAGGGCTTCTGTGTTTTACAAATCCGACGCAAGTTCAGCTGCTGGAATGACAGAAGAATCTGGCATCAGGAAGATCCTCCCACAATCCGATATATGCGACTTTGAGTTCGAACCTTGCGGTTACTCCATGAACTCAATTGAAGGCAATGCAGTTTCTACGATCCACGTGACACCAGAAGACGGTTTCAGCTACGCTAGCTTTGAAACGGTGGGATATAATTTCAATGATGTGAACTTGACCCAGCTGCTTTACAGGGTTCTGGATTGCTTCAAACCAGCTGAGTTCTCCATAGCCTTGCACACCACCAGCACCGCAGGTGAAGATCTTGATGCTAAGGGCCCTCTGGACTTAAAGGGATACTGCTGCGGAGGAAGCAGCTATGAGGGTCTAGGCCTGGGTGGTGCAGTCGTCTGCCACAGCTTTGTCAAGGATAATTCTGGTTCGCAGTCTCCAAGGTCGATTCTGAAGTGCTGCTGGAGCGAGGACGAGAAGGACGAGAAGGACGAGGAAGTTGAAGAGATAGATCTGGCCGAGATCTAGCGTTCTATTGTTCGTGTTTTTAGTAGTAATAAATAAAAGAAAAAACAAATGTGACAGGGGGGTTATGTTGCAATTATAGTAGGGTATTAGTATTATGATATGCAGCCTGCTGTGTCGCTGCAGTTTTAGTTTCTGATATTGTCAATAAACCGGATCTCGGGTGGCAGCCGAGATCCGTTGTCGTTCTCGGACTTCCTGGATGCCAGGAGTCTTTGTTGATCTACTTTTTTACCTCTATAAGATGAATGTTATTATCTATATAATTTCTTTGTGTTATGACCATGGATTATGCTATTTATGTAGCATTGGTTTAGCACCTTTTGTTCTTCCAACTAGAAAAGAATATGAATCAAAGGATCATCATCATCACATGTTCATATGTGAATCATATCATATTAATGGCCAGAGACGTCACGGTGATAGTAAATTCAGTGATGTACATTTATTCATGAACGTATACGTTTCGAAAATGACTTAGGTCTAAAAAACGGACGATCTTTGGGTTGACATGAACATGAAACGAAGATAAACATAAGATGTACACGAAACGAATATAAACGGGTGAGGACTAACTGTCTCTTCCTCAAGGAAGCATCCTCGCTACTAAGCTTCTTGTTTTGGGTAGAAATTTGTTGGGCATTGGGCATTCGATTTGTACAAATCCAAGGAACGCCAGATTTGACCTAAAAAGGAAAGCCGAAAGGCATCAAGGAAGACAGAAAAAGGGAGCAGAGGCCAATTTGTCTAAAAATAGCGAATATGTCGTTGCCATTCGATGATAATCCGTAGCTTAATGTATGAAGAATGTGGATTCTCTGGTAGAAAAAGAATCGCCATGGATATCAATTACGTTTGATGAAACAAGCGGAAAAATAAATACAGGGTGCAAAACTGTTACGCAACATGCCTACTACTACTCATGTCTCAACATTATGAATAAGAACAATAGATTCCTGGCTTTTCTTCGTACAAACTTTCAGGCGTTCAGTAAGGTCGAAACTTCCTAGCCGCTCTTAACTGCTGTATCCGCTTTTTATCTTGCTCAAATTTGCTCTGGAGCATCATAATTTCTGCAGGGACATATCTTATTAGCGCTTTGCTGTATTTGCACAACTTTAAACAACAAGAATACATATGATACTATTCTCAAAATCAAAACTATTTCGTGTGTAAATTATGAAAATAAAATTCATCGGAAACGACAACATAAACATATGTAATATGCCACTGCATGCTCATAATTGGAGTGCTTTTCAGCATATGCAACATTTTCACCAACGTGGTGTCGTTTTTCAGGTTAACACAAGATAAACTTTATATGTAAGATTAACATACCGTTTCTCTGAGCTTCTTTCCTTTGGAACCGGTAAAAATCTAGCCCAGCAACTTCTGTGCGCTTCTTCTTGGCCACCTTGTCCTCCAAAGCAGCCTGGGCAACAGATCCTACTGTAATTCCACTCTCAGTATCCGTGGTCTTCTTCCTTCCTTTATGATGTACGACAACTGTCCATCCTCCATCTGCAGCACGGGCTTCTTTCTCTTTCTTTTCCTGCATGTGCCATGCATATATGTGAACTAGTACACATTTGATCAACTGGAAAGTTACGCACAGTGAATATAAACAGATGGACATACACGAACCACACAACACCAATAAAATATAGATTATACATTCCCACATTACATGGGCAAATGTGAAGAGAGATCAGAGGCAGGAATATGTAGCATACTTCCATGAAGAATAAGCATGCGGGCCAAATTTCAAAACAAGGAAAAACAAAGCCCATCAGCTAATACCATATGTGTTTATAGATGGCGCAACATACACGAAACCGGTTTTTATAGATCTTCAAGCATGTACAAATATGTCATTTAAGACAGTATGAACAGTGTTATAAAGAGCGAAGGTCCAAACGGCTGGTTTGAATACTCCAGTTGCATGGTATTTGTAGCATGGAAGAGGAAAATTACCTGTTCCAGTTTTTCATCATGTTCAACCATAAACTGATCAATTCTTTGCTGCAGTACCTTTAACCCAGGTCTACTTTGATGGTATTCCATAATCCATTCTGAGGATTCAGAAAATCTCAATAAGAGGAGTACAGTGTAAAAAAGGGAAATTAATATCAGATATGTTGAATTTTGTAAAATCAAATAATTTTAAGCTTATCATCAATAGGTATTTACTTATTAATAGGTTTGTTGGCTTTAGAATATGAAAATATACACCAACGAGTAGTTTGAATTCAGTAATTCATACTTTTCATTCCTTTCGCAGAGTCCTCATCCCCAGAAGAAATAAGGAAAACATCAGCCTGATCGGCTTCTACTTCCCTTTCCAGTGTCTTCTTAGAATTTGACGAATCAAGATCCTTCTTTTTCTTTCTTGAAGCCTTCTTGGGTACACCTACATTGACAATTTATCATTACTAAAAGTAGAAAAGTACTGATTGCAATGAAATAGTGATAACTCGGATACAAAGCGATGTTTCAAATTCAAGAATCATACCTGATATCCCTTTTGAGCTGTTCTCCTGACCAGCTTCTACTTCCTTTTCAGGTGACTTCACCAACTCTAACGAATTACGATCCTTCTTTTTCTTTTTCTTAGCTTTCTTTGACTTACCTACAATAAAAGGAGAACCTCAATGAGCACTTGACCTTATAAGTGATTGCAATAAAAATTTCATCCAATGACTCTGCTCAGATCAAACAAAAGCTGCCACTTATTCATAATTTCCAATTTTGGTTCCTTACCAGCCTTAGTGAGCACTTCACCAATTTCAATCTCTTCCTGAGTTTCAAATGGGCTCTGATCCGCAACTCCATCATCTAATAGAAAGAAAATTCTTTTAATTAAGTTAAAAGCAGGAAAGGATTCTATGGTCGACACTTCAAAAGCATAAATGCATTTCCATACAGCTTGAGAGAGAAAATTGGAAGCAGAGACCTTAGGTTAGAGAAAAAGAAAACAAGAAAACAACTCCGACTTACAAATAAAGCAAAACAAAACACAGACAGGCAAAGATTTTGGCAATTTGTAAATTTTCAATATTCACCCCCAAAAAGGTACTTGAATGCACCAGGACACTATTAACAAATTACACAATAACTGTGGTTCCCCTGAAAACTATTACAGTGTAATGCTACCCAACTAGAAGCAACTTACCATTTATTTCATAAAAATTGTCATCAGTGTCCGTATTTGGATAATCATTCTTGCCTTCCATAGCTTCATAGTTCTTCGCATTCTTTATTTTCCTTTTATTCGTTAGTTTTGCCTTTTTCTTATCTTTGGCTGGTTTGGCTGAATTGTCTACTGAAACAACAAAAGCAAACGGAGAACATTGAGTTCAATCCAAATCTATAGCCCTAACAATGTACCTAACACATGAGAAACATAAATCCAATGTACCTTCAATAAAGACTTGAACAACCTTCGAGAATCAGCATCGCTTTCCTTTGCCCTTTTTCTCTTTCTAATCTCGGCAGATCCTAATTTTTTATCTGGAAACAGATAAAAACAACAAAATCACAACTTGGTAAAACTCTTCGCCGTATCAATACAGATACAGGGAGCCAAATTCTGCCAAATCCAATTATCAAATAGGATTTTGCCTCCATGATGATGAACATTGAACAATTATACATACATCCACTACATTTTAAATGCATAGTTTTTCAATTTCCCAAAGTATATAGCATCTATTTTATATCATATTATTCATCATCGAAATCAAATTTTCTCAACAATTAGTTTTTAGGTTCAAACCACCCAGAAATTTAATTCCAAAAAAATATCAAAAACCCAAGTTAGAAGCAAACTAAACGGGTAAGAAAAAAATATAACTTTATTGATTATATGAAAAGTGACAAACCCTTTTCAACAAGCTCCAAAGTTGGCTGGGCAACCTTCTTGTTCTTATGGGTCTTCTTCTTGTCCTTCGTTCCCATCTTTTTCACTGACTCTGTGTGCAGATTAGAAAGCCGTGATCGTTTCGGGTTGTATCGAACCCGGTTCCCAATTATCTCAAGTACCCGACTTTCCTACTCCTCAGACTCCTTTCTCTTCTTATCTGTAAATCTGCTGGAAACTAATGCAGAAGAAGAAGAAGAAGAAGAAGAAGAAGAAGAAAAGGGTTTTTTGGGCGGAGAAGAACGAACAAAAATATACAGAAAGTTGAAAACTTTGGAGCTCCGGTGATTGCACGAATGGAATGAAGAGGGAGAAGGAGGCTGCTCCAGCGGCGGGTTGAGGGTGGGTTTAGGGTGGCTTTTTTCTGGTGGGTGTGGCGGGAATATAAATTGATAAATTTAACGTGCTTGTAGTGTAAATTTTGAAAATATCAGGGACTCCCATAATATTTTTCAAGTTTACTCTCTGCCCTTTATTTTCTATTTTCCAAAAGTTTTTCAAGTTTGATTGCATGAGGGGGTGGATGGGCCGACTGGGCCCACTATAAAGGGGTCGAGTGTGATATTTTTGCGTTTTTAGATTCTTAAGTGAAGTGACCCGATCATTCACGTTGAAAGATTTTTTTAAAGACGTATTCGTGTAACACAATTTTATGTAACTCGTGTTTTGATTAGACATTCATGTATTTGTTTGAAAATTGAATTGTTCTCATTTAAGTTTTAGAGAACCTTAGCTTATGTTCCTATGAATTGGAAACTTAGGACAATTTGAAACTGTAAGTATTAATATTTGATGGGCTTTGACGCGGTTTTATTGACAATTATGCATCACGTGATAATTACATGAATGACGTACTAAGAGCCACTGGTGAATTTTTGTAATAAAAGATGTGTGTTGATAAACTGAAGTCTGGTTTTTTAATCTCCCATCGATGAAATTATCGTCAAAATATATATCAATACAACTATTTTCTTTTTTGAAAAAAAAAAAAAAATTAGTGGTATATTGATCCCTTTGGGATAAAAGTTTAGCAACTACCACTGGAGATAAACAGCTTCCTGGTCAAAAGGCCCATCCCAAGTAATAACGCGACACGTGGTTGGTCCCCAGATCAATGACTCGGAGGAAGTCCGGGAGTACTTACGCGTAGCATCACACGTGTCGAGCATTCAGCTGCTCCAAAACCCTATATAAACCTATCCGACTGTGAGTATTTCATCATCAAGCAAATCAACTACCATCTCTAAGAACTTCAATCGATTTCTAAGTGTATTTTTTCTCCAATTTCCAACTAGACGAAAATGGCTGACAACTCCCAGAAGATGAGCTACCAAGCTGGAGAGGCCAAGGGCCAAGCTCAGGTAACCCTCACTCATCTCCATTTTTCGTTTTGAAATGTTGCTAGCGTTGTAAAATAGTCATATATACTGCACTCGTTTCTTCTTTGTTCTTATGATTCTAGTGCACGATCGACTATTTTGGAGCGTCAATAACAATCTTTCGTTACGTTTTCTTTTGCTTTAATATTGATTGTGCATTGAGATTGAGGTGTGTTTGTTGTATTGGACGATATGGGATTTGACAGGAGAAGGCCAGTGGAATGATGGACAAGGCTAACAATGCCGCCCAGTCTGCCAAGGAAACAATGCAGGATGCTGGCCAGAACATGCAGGCCAAGGCACAGGGAGCTGCCGATGCAGTCAAGAACGCCACCGGCATGAACAAATGAAGCGTTTTCGCATTTAGTTCTAGAACTTTTTGGGTCTTAGGGAACTTTGGAGCCTCTTCTTCGACAGCTTTTTTAGTGGTTTGTTTTTAATTTCTAGTTTGTAACAAAGGGAGCCTTAGCCCCTCGGCGTCTCAGTTGCTGAGAAGTTGTCGAGCTCTCAGTTGGGTGTGTGCTTCACACTTGTTCGGTTTTCATTTCTTTTTTCTTTTGTTAATGTTTGTCTCTCTCCTTTGAAGAACGTAGAGTGGCTCCGTTCGTTGTAGTTCTCACCCAATTAATTCATGAACTTTTCATCATTATGTGATGATTTTTTAGAATTATATTATATCTTCATCTTTTACTTTTATTTTAATCCTCACTTTTATATTATATCATGATATTAAGATAATTAAAATAATTAAAATATTGCTATAAAGCAGTGGTATTTTGCTTATAAAAGTTAATTTAACGGCAATCAAACGACTAGTGGTGGCGTTGAGGGGAAGTGAAATGTGCAATAATATAGGGTTCCAAATTTGAAGGGGCGTCTAAATTTTTGCCATTTAACATTATGTAATAATGTTCTATATTTAAAAAATGAAGTGTTATTGTCATTCCAAAAATCTCATTCTACACTCCTCACAAGTGTATTTTTCTTTCTTAATATAGAAAGTTTGGAGTGTAAAATGAGATTTTTGGAATGCTAATAACAATTCATTTTAAAAATTATTTTTGTTAGCACTTTAAGTGAAGTAACACGATCATTCACGTTGAAAGATTTTTTTTAAAGACGTATTCGTGTAACATAATTTTATATAATTCGTCTTTTGATTAGACATTCATGTATTTGTTTGAAAATTGAAATGTTCTCATTTAAGTTTTAGAGAACCTTAGCTTATGTTTCTATGAATTGGAAACTTAGGACAATTTGAAACTATAAGTATTAATATTTGATGGGTTTTGACCTGATTTTATTGACAATTATACATCATATGATAATTACACGAATGACGTACTAAGAGACAATGGTGAATTTTTGTAATAAAAAAGGTGTGTTGATAAACTGAAGTCTGGTTTGTTAATCTCCCATTGATGAAATTATTATCAAAATATATATCAATACAACTATTTTCTTTTTTGAAAAAAAAAAAAAAATTAGTGGCATATTGATCCCTTTGGGATAAAAGTTTAGCAACTACCACTGGAGATAAACAGCTTCCTGGTCAAAAGGCCCATCCCAAGTAATAACGCGACACGTGGTTGGTCCCCTGATCAATGACTCGGAGGAAGTCCGGGAGTGACTTACGCGTGGCATCACACGTGTCGAGCATTCAGCTTCTCCAAAACCCTATATAAACCTATCCGACTGTGAGTTTCATTATCAAGCAAATCAACTACCATCTCTAAGAACTTCAATCGATTTCTAAGTGTATTTTTTCTCCAATTTCCAACTAGACGAAAATGGCTGACAACTCCCAGAAGATGAGCTACCAAGCTGGAGAGGCCAAGGGCCAAGCTCAGGTAACCCTCACTCATCTCCATTTTTCGTTTTGAAATGTTGCTAGCGTTGTAAAATAGTCATATATACTGCACTCGTTTCTTCTTTGTTCTTATGATTCTAGTGCATGATCGACTATTTTGGAGTGTCAATAACAATCTTTCGTTACGTTTTCTTTTGCTTTAATATTGATTGTGCATTGAGATTGAGGTGTGTTCGTTGTATTGGACGATTTGGGATTTGACAGGAGAAGGCCAGTGGAATGATGGACAAGGCTAACAATGCCGCCCAGTCTGCCAAGGAAACAATGCAGGATGCTGGCCAGAACATGCAGGCCAAGGCACAGGGAGCTGCCGATGCAGTCAAGAACGCCACCGGCATGAACAAATGAAGCGTTTTCGCATTTAGTTCTAGAACTTTTTGGGTCTTAGGGAACTTTGGAGCCTCTTCTTCGACAGCTTTTTTAGTGGTTTGTTTTTAATTTCTAGTTTGTAACAAAGGGAGCTTTAGCCCCTCGGCGTCTCAGTTGCTGAGAAGTTGTCGAGCTCTCAGTTGGGTGTGTGCTTCACACTTGTTCGGTTTTCATTTCTTTTTTCTTTTGTTAATGTTTGTCTCTCTCCTTTGAAGAACGTAGAGTGGCTCCGTTCGTTGTAGTTCTCACCCAATTAATTCATAAACTTTTCATCATTATGTGATGGTTTTTTAGAATTATATCTTCATCTTTTACTTTTATTTTAATCCTCACTTTTATATTATATCATGATATTAAGATAATTAAAATATTGCTATAAAGCAGTGGTATTTTGCTTATAAAAGTCAATTTAACGGCAATCAAACGACTAGTGGTGGCGTTGAGGGGGAAGCGAAATGTGCAATAACATAGGATTCCAAATTTGAAGGGCCGCCTAAATTTTTTCCATTTAACATTATGTAATAAGTTATATATTTAAAAATGGAAGTGTTATTGGCATTCTAAAAATCTTATTCTACATTCCTCACAAGTGTATTTTTCTTTCTTAATATAGAAAGTTTGAAGTGTAGAATGATATTTTTGGAGTGCTAATAACAATTCTTTTTAAAAATTGCTTTTGTTAGCACTTTAAGTGAAGTGACACGATCATTCACGTTGAAAGATTTTTTTTTAAAGACGTATTTGTGTAACATAATTTTATGTAATTCGTCTTTTGATTAGACATTCATGTATTTGTTTGAAAATTGAAATGTTCTCATTTAAGTTTTAGAGAACCTTAGCTTATGTTTCTATGAATTGGAAACTTAGGACAATTTGAAACTGTAATTATTAATATTTGATGGGTTTTGACGTGATTTTATTGACAATTATGCATCACGTGACAATTACACGAATGACGTACTAAGAGACAATAGTGAATTTTTGTAATAAAAGAGGTGGGTTGATAAACTGAAGTCTGGTTTTTTAATCTCCCATTGATGAAATTATTATCAAAATATATATCAATACAACTATTTTCTTTTTTGAAAAAAAAAAAAAATTAGTGGTATATTGATCCCTTTGGGATAAAAGTTTAGCAACTACCACTGGAGATAAACAGCTTCCTGGTCAAAAGGCCCATCCCAAGTAATAACGCGACACGTGGTTGGTCCCCTTATCAATACTCGGAGGAAGTCCGGGAGTGACTTACGCTTGGCATCACACGTGTCGAGCATTCAGCTGGTCCAAAACCCTATATAAACCTATCCGACTGTATGTATTTCATCATCAAGCAAATCAACTACCATCTCTAAGAACTTCAATCGATTTCAAAGTGTTTTTTTACTCCAATTTCCAACAAGAAGAAAATGGCTGACAACTCCCAGAAGATGAGCTACCACGCTGGAGAGGCCAAGGGCCAAGCTCAGGTAACCCTCACTCATCTCCATTTTTCGTTTTAAAATGTTGCTAGCGTTTTAAAATAGTCATATATACTGCACTCGTTTCTTCTTTGTTCTTATGATTCTAGTGCATGATCGACTATTTTGGAGCGTCAATAACAGTTTTTCGTTACGTTTTCTTTTGCTTTAATATTGATTGTGCATTGAGATTGAGGTGTGCGTGTTGTATTGGATGATTTGGGATTTGACAGGAGAAGGCCAGTGGAATGATGGACAAGGCTAACAATGCCGCCCAGTCTGCCAAGGAAACAAT